CCGAGATCTGTCGTGGTGTGCTTCTGTCGCAGCGTGTGCTAGCTGTCGCGGAAATCCTCCTCCTTCGCGAGATCTGCCCCTTCGCGGACCAAACTACCCGCCTTCCTCTGCTCCTTCGCGGACAGTTCCTCCTCCGTCTCACCGAATCTGTCGCGATTCGGCTGCCTGCGACGCGATCCAATTGCTCCTCTGTTCGTGAATGCCAAACTCCTCTTCTTCGTCGCTGGCAGTGAACACCTTTACGCGGACACCTCTAGCCAAGAATTATGAATCTTCCCACAGACGGCGCCAATTGTTGTGAGATATGTACTTCCTGGCAAGATCGCTTACGTGGTTCGATCCAACTGGATCTACGTCCACGGGAGGGAATCGATCAAATATTTCACTAAGGCAAAAGAAATGGAGAATACATAGCTTATACATAGAGATGAGCCCTCATCTTCCTTCTATGACCTCCCTCTCAAGCGACACCTTGATACAAGGCCTCAAGATGCTCTCCTCCTCTCTAGCTCTCTAGCTATTCTCTCCTCCTTTTGTGGTAGCTTAAGATCTCTTCCCTTGCACTCCTAGGCCTCACACCCTCTCTATTTATAGAAGCAAGAGAGTGGTAGGTGGGAGGTAGGTGAGAGGTAGGTGGGTGGTAGGTGAGCGGTAGGTGAGATGCGGTAGGTGGCGGTGCCACATTACAAAATTGCCCTTTTACCTTAGTTCATTAATTGGGGATCAAAATAACATGCCAGAAACTGGAAACCAATCATTGGAACTACTAGACATGTAGAGATTAATAGAAATGAAAAACCATTAATTCGTTACCAATACTTAGCCCAACGATATGGAAGAAGGACTCACTAGAATGATCCAAGGAGCCTTAGAGCGTGTTCCTAGATCCCCTCAATGTGTGAATTTTGAAGATGGATCTTCAAACTCTCATTCATCAACAATCATCAAATTTTCATGTACTGCCTTGAACTTTTATAGCTGAAGAGAGCTATTACCTAAAGAACAGTGTTGAGAAAACACCTTAATTTGAAGGGTCAAGAAGCATCAGTCACACCTAGGAAACACATTCTCCCAAGAATTTGTTGCAGCGCACCCTTCAAAGAAATTTAAAAATTCCATACTTGGATTTATATATAGGAAAAAAACAGATATAACTGCCAAGTATTCATGATGCATCAAAGTGTATTTTATTAGGTTATTCCCCAGTATTTCACTTAGAATATTACTTCGTTTGATGAATTCAAAAAGTAATTTATTACCTAGTTTGCAAGTGGCGAAAAGCATCTTAAAAAGTTGCATCTTTGAAGACGAGATGAGAAAGGCGAATGTCCTTGAAAAATCGAATTATTCGATGCAACAAGGGATATTAGAAGTTACAGAATTGGCGCATGTACTTGCCTAATAGAATTTAGGGCCTTAAAAAGAGACCGGATAAGTATGCACTCAGATTGAAACAGCCAAAGACGTTTGTTGAAATTTTGGGACTTGATAATCATTATGTGAAAGCAAAAGAATATAACAATGTGGAGAGTTCAAATCAGCATCTATAATTCATCATGGATGCACAACACATCAACTTGGTGGAATAAATATTAAGATTACTTTAACTTGGGCGAGGCTAGAATTTGCTATAACAATTAACAATCACATCAACATCACCATCAACAATATGAGCGTAGGAACTCGCTGACTTACCACCTATAATGAATAAATATTAGGGGACCAAACATATATACCACAAAGTTCTAAGGTATTTGAATATTTAACATTTAAATCTTAATAGTTATTATATAATACTCAAATGTTTAATATTACATGAAACATAACACTAATACCAACCTTTTTTTTTAAATAAAATACTAATTTTCATTGATATATTTTGATGTGATTCTAATACTAAAGTGTTATACATGTACATATCAAACTTTTGTATTAGAATCACATCAAAATTTAAGCATGAAAATAAATATTATAAATTTAAATGTTAAATATTCAAATACATAAGAATTGTGTTGTATGTATGTAAGTCTCCCTAAGTATTACACTTGTATGAGTATCTTATGAAAAGTTCATAAATGAAATAAAAGACAATGAATGCTTGTGTCCGCCACCTCCATTAAAGGCAATCTCACATTCGAGATCTATCAAAACATTGTATTTTTCATAATGATCATGACAATGACCTTGGGGATTCTCAACATCTTTGCAGATTAGCTGAAGAACTAATCAAAGTTATTTTTTAATTTTATTTTTAATTATTATTTTTCAATTCTTTGAATGCAAGGGAGCTATAAAAAGAAATAATTTTGACGAAAAAATATCTAATAAAGAATCATATTTGGTATTTAAAATAAATATACTTGCGCATAGAATTTGATAAGGAACTCATCCTTAGAATTTGAAAATTCTCAAATAATTTATTCATAAAATTCTTCAAGAGAAAAACTCATCTCTATAACTTGCTAAGCACGTAAGGCACACCATAGAGGCTTGATGTGTTAAAATTTGTTCAAGAATTAAAATCTTAAAGTCAATACTCATTTAATCAAGTTGAAGTCAACCAAACTTCAAATTTGAAAATTTAAGTCATTAATGCGATCTGACTAATTAATTGGTAGACTAAGTTAAACTTGAAACCAGAATGGTCTCGATTTAAGGACAAGTTTAAAAGTTGTGAAATCACTTCCTACATGAGAACTAAGGCCCCTAAATAGACTAATAATCCACATTTAATGAAGTCTCCTAACACACTACTTAAAGCATGAATTTCATTGAAGGAATCAACAAATTCTCATGATGTAAAGAATAATCTTGTTTGCTCAGAAATTAGTCAACTATTAAGCTAGTCAACTTGTTTATTAGCCTATTCAAAAATTTATATAACTACCTACTCAACAAATTATCACCTCATATTTTTGAATATTCTAAATTTCTCTCAAAATATATTATTTCATTGTGCTAAAATATAACTTCTAATAAAATCCATATTGAGAGTAAGTAAAATTCTTTATTAGTGGCAGTCTAGAGATCGTGACTCTCGCAATTGCCAATGCTTTAGCGTGAGGTGAATACTTGTTCAAAAATGTACACCATATAAGGACAATTGTTGAGAAAGAAGGGCAAAGAATCATAAGAATCAAGAAAAGTACATCAGAGATTTAACGAGGTTTGGCAATATGCCTATGTCCTCGGAAGCGATGAGCGGCGATTTTTATTTCCTAAAGCAATTAACCCCTTTAGGGTTACAAATACAAGATATATATATATATATATATATAAACCTTTTTTGCAATTACAATATGCTCCGCTCGAGCATCTGTCCCTAACAACATTGAATAAGAGTAAACAACTATATTTAGAAGCAAAAACTTAAAGATACTTAGCATAATCTTGGATATATCTCTACTTGACATGTTCATGGGCATTTCTATTCAATATATTTTTGGATATTAATTTATATAAAGAAGCTTCAAAATATTATTTTTCAGTCCGAAAGCGACATGAAAATCAAAGAGCTAATATACACTCATAATCAACTCGATTAGATTATTGGATTCAAAATATGAGTCTAAATTTCTCATAGAGCCTGAGATTATCTCATACTTGAAGCTATCAGAAACTCAAAACTCATTTTATAATTGAGATAGTTAGAGAACTTAAACACATCTCAGACTTCAATCATTAGAGTACTTGAAATCATTTCAGGCTTAAAATCATCAATGGATCTAAAATCATCTCAAATTTAAATTCATACCATATCTCGTACTCATCTCAAATTTAATTTATTAGAGACTCTAGTCTCATCTAAATCTTGAAGTAATGAAAGATTTTGCACATATCTCCGACTTAAAATTATTACAGAGCTTGAACTCAACTCATACTTGAACTCATCACCCTCTAAACTCATTACAAACTTAAGTCATCAGAGAGACACTCGCTCGGAGTTAAAGTCATCAAAGACTAAACTCACCTAGGACTTGAAATATTAAAGAGCATAAACTCATCTCAACACTTGAAGTCATCGAAGAACTTTAACTCATCTTTGGCTTGAAGTTGTTGAATACTTGAATTCATCTCAAACCTGAAGTCATGAGACAGCGTGAACTCGTCTTGTATTTGAAGCTGTTAGAGACTCTAGTCTCATCTAGAAATTAAAATTCTAAGAGGATCGTAACTTCTCCGAGGCTTGAGCTCACTGAGGAACTTCAACCCATCTCAATCTTGAAATCTGTAGAAGCTTTGAACTTGACTTGGGCTTGACATGTCAGAGGACTTAACTCATCTCAAATTTAAAGTCTTCAAAGAGCAGATGAACTCATCTCCTACTTAAGAATTCATTAGTGAGCCTGAGCTTATACCATGTTTAAAGTCACCCACGGAACACACAAAAACTACAACCATCCAAAATTGCTAAATATCCTTGCCAAGCTACTCCGTCTCAGAGCCTACAAGGTTAGGTCATCCAATTCACCCAATGTGGCTAACTCGCTAGAATTTGTTTTCTTGGTAAGGTCGGCCGACAATTTATGAGGACCTATTCCTTATCTGAAATCACCTTGCGTAGTCAATGCAATTACATGGTTACAAGCTAACAATATTCATTTCATAGAAACTATTTGTTAGGGCGGATCATGTAATTACTTATCTGACAGAAATTTAATCTTTTCTGCAATGCTGTGCCTCAACCCTTCTGCAGTTAAGCCGAAGGTTCGCTCGATTTTTGCCAAAAATCTTATTGTTTCTAAAAATACAATAATAATAAAAAAAAAAACTCGAAGGTTCTCGCTCTAGATTCTCTCTCAATCTCTACATTTCCATTTTTTCTTAGTAATTCATTAGATACTGCGATGCACATTACATATCTTTAGCAGATGGTTACAGAGGGAGAATCATTTTTTGCAATTTTTCGAAAATTAAACAGCTCAGGAAGGGACCTCTTAAGTACAAAAGAAACAGCGAAAAAAATGCAGCAATGTGATCAATAAAAATAACGAATTTACCTTGAAGCCACACGAACATTGTACTCTTTTCCAGGGTGATAGAATTCAGCAAGGCCCCAATCTATCAGGCGCAGTTTTCGATGCTCATGATCTATCATGACATTTTGAGGCTTAACATCTCGGTGCATGATTCCTTGTGAGTGGCAATAATCTAATGCCTGCGACCAGAAATTTTGAATAATGACACATCAAGCAATAAATACAGAATTTTAACAAAAATATGCCCATCCTAAACCACCCTTCTAGAACACTGAGTTATATTTTCTAGAAGAAGGAAGTGAGGAGGAGCCAGCTCTTCTTATAAAAACAGCACATAAAATTCATATGCAGGAAAAAGTGCCTTTAGATAATTACAGTAGGTTGATTAGCCCTCTGACAACAATATTCAATTTCTTCCGTCTCCGATGGCTACTGATATTTTCCAAGATCAATAACAGAAAGTGCTTATGAAATGTTTTGAGCCAAAATTTATAGGGGCAGTTTACATACATAGAGCACAATTCTTATGCATTTGCAAATCTCACACCTAAACTTTCATATTTACACACATAGCAATCAATCTTTAATAGCACATCAAAAATAGCACTATTATCATTTTTTTAAAAGTGAAATTCACCTTTTCATGCATAGGTTTCACCTTTTCATGCATAGGTTTCATGCATAGGTTTAAAGCAACAAAGTGCTATGTATGTAAATATGAAAGTTTAGATATGAGTTATGTAAATACATAAGAATTGTATGATACACATGAAAATTTACCAAATTTATATGTTCTAGCCAATATTTAAAGATTATCTAAAGCTATCAATGATAGGGAAATAATGGCCACGGCCCATTCAAAAACCTTATATTAAATCATTAAACATAAACTTTGATGTTATTGGGCATATCATTATTCCATAATTGCCACAGGATTTTTAAGAATCATTAACAAAAAATATAAGTTACTTCAAAAACTTAAACTTCATCTCCAAAAGTAAACATATACCAGAAACCAATCTCAAGATGAATACATGAGAAATACACATTATGAAATGTCATCAGATTTTATGAATACCTTAGTCTTATTTATATGATGCAACTATGTAGCCTACTAGTTAAAAACAAAGTTAATAACTAAGTGGCCTGTATGCTCGAGCACACCTTTTCACTTTCATCTCCGGTTTTTACACCACTTATTTGAAGTGAAAGTTATAAATCATAGTCCTTGCAATAGAAATATATTAAAGAAAGATTTACAGACAGGCCACACAATCCTATCTATTTACATATCTAACACCCGAACTTTGATATTTACATTAATATCATTTTACTTATGCATAAAAAGGTATATTTCACTTTTAAGAAGTTGATAATAATGATATTTTAATGTGATATGAAATATTTTAATGTTAGAAACATAAAAAACAAAGTTTAGGTGTTAGATAAGTAAATTCATAAGAATTGTGTGGTATGTATGTAAATTTTCTTATATTAAAAACGTAATGGCCTTGAATAAAGAAAATGGGCTTGGGGAAACCTTGAGCAGTTCATAAATATAGTAGCGTATGTCATAATCTGTGAATGACGGATACAAGAGTTTGAAATCCAAGTTGTTCACATATTCAAATATCAGGCTTGGAATTTTAGAATGCTGGTCTCTGACAATATCAAGAAGCTTCACAATATTGGGGCCACCACAAAGATTTTGAAGTATTTTAATCTCCCTCTTTATCTGCAAAGTAGGCAACAAAAAATAGTTAGGCAATCAGATTTAATCATCAATGAAAGAAAGTACTTAGTATGCACTGTAAAAATGTAGTAGGAAGGCAGTGATGAAAAACAAAAAAGGCAATACTTTTACTTCATTGATTCTGGTGCATGCACAAACATAACTATATCTAGGATAGTTAATAAAGAAATAAAATTTATAATGAAATAGAATATTCTCACTAATGAGGATATATTACAATATTAGTTACTATAAATATTTAGCACAAGAGACAATATAAATATACTAACAGGCAAATATATATTTAATAAGCATGTTTAGGTTTTGGAACTATAGACTGTTGTAGCCTTTGCGCGAGGTGGGATGGTATTGATCAAGCTCTTTTCCAATAGATAATATATTGAATAAAGTGTTCTTCTTCAATCTCATACAGCAAGTCATTATTTCTCAGCAATAAGCTTTAATTATGGTGTATGCGGGTCGAGTCGAGTCGAGCTCGAGCAACCCTCGACTCTAAGTTGAGCTTAATTAACTAATCAAGTTTGAGCTCAAGCTCACGCTTAATTCTACGAGTTTGAGCTGGCTTATTTATTTCGAAAGAAAGAAAATAAATTAAAGCAAATGTTATAGTAAAACAACAAATAGAATGATCAATTGGGAGATGAATATTATGAAACCACTTGATATAAAATATAAAAAAAAATTAAAACATTTTAAATATAAAGTCTTGAATTTTAATATATTTTGAGTATATATTATATTTACATTTTCTTAAACAAACGAGCCCACAAACTAATGAGTCCAGTCGGGGATTGCCTGCTAGTTCATCGAGTTCAGCTCACGAGCCATTTATAGAGCTAAGCCCAAGAGGACTCACGAGTCGGCTTGGCTTAGTTACACAACTAGCTTTAATCCACATCTATTATGAAGCTGTCATACAGTAACCTGGCTTCTGTCCATCATGCCAAAATTCTTCATTGAAATCATTATAAATGAAATTTATGCCCAAAAGCTAAATTCCCTTACAGCGGAAAAGATATGAATTAGTAATTACAGGATGCAGGCCACAATTTCTATTAATTTTGAATTTGTATCAATTTTCAAGTGAGTTTCTGCTGCATATGCACAAAAAGACTCTATAGAATTGAAATTTATGCCCAAATGCTAAACTACCATATAGAGAAAAATATATGGATGACAAATTACAACATGCAGTCCATAGTTCCGATTAACTTTGATGTATGTACCAAATTTCAAGTGAATTACTGTTGCATCTGCAAAAGAAGGACTTCATAAGATAGTGTTGTTCATCTCTAAAGGACTTCATAAGCTAGTGTTGTTTATCTCTTGAGGATTTTTAACTATTATTTTGACCCCCAATTAATGAACTAAGGTAAAAAAATACTTTTGTAATGTGGTACCGCTCACCTACCACATCTCACCAACCGTTCACCTACCGCTCACCTACCGCTCACCTACCTGAAGGACTTCATAAGATAGTGTTGTTCATCTCTTGAGGTAAAAAGGCACTTTTGTAATGTGGTACCGCTCACCTATCACATCTCACCAACCGTTCACCTACCGCTCACCTACCGCTCACCTA